GTACAAATACTTCTTTACTGTACTTAAGTAGAATTTTTGGGTATCTGTACTTTACTCGAGTAATTATTTTTCAGCCTACTTTTTACTTCTACTTCTTACATTTTCACATAATTATCTGTACTTTCTACTCTTACATTTTTTGAAAAAGACAAGAAGTAGAAAGTCGTTACTTTCATTTCATTTTGCTTGTTTTCATTCCAGCTTGTTATTATAAAAAATAAATACTATCTGTATAAACTGTGCCTCCTATGTAGAGTGAATTTAATTGTGGTTGAATGAGAAGTATAAATACATAATATTCTGATAGCGTATTAGTTTGTACACAAACAAATCATGTCACACTCCAGCAGGACTTAATCATTAAAATAAAAGTACTGTACTTAAGAAGTATTTATACTTTATGAATTATATTATTGCATTTGGCCGCAGCCCTCAGATAGATTTTCATTTTGGGGAAAAGGTTTGGTCACCCTTGATATATGTATATAAACTAAAACAACTAGACAAGTGCATCCTAAATTTAACATAAATTAATTATTTTAATTATTTTAAAACAACAGTCATTTCTGCATTTTTTGGGGGGGGAGGCCACCTCCTAATAATTGTCCTTACAGAAAATCTAACAGCTCATTTTAAATCAATACTTTTAATGCTTAAGTACAAAAAGTATCAGAGACTTTAAGACTTTTACTCAAGTAAGGAGACTTTAACTTTTACCAAAGTAATTTTTTGGTAAGATACTTGGACTTTTACTCAAGTATCACTTTGTGGTACTTTATATAACACTGCGGATCAGTCACATCTAATCTCGCCCACAGCCTCTCCTGCTCCCCCAGCATCAGGTAGCCGCTCTGCTGAGTCGAGGTTTTGGAACCCCAACCAGGAGCGTCGCCTCGGCCTGACCTTCAGGGCGCGTCGTTTCGGGCTCACTTACTCTGGCACTTGGCGCAGGGGTCCTTCTCGTACTCCAGCAGATCCGCCGCCCGGCTCCGAACGCTGGTGTTCCTCCGCGGTCCATCTCGCACCCCTCCGTCCCGTAGGCGGGCCGCCTCTTCCTTGGCATACACACCCAGCTCCTGGGTGTAGCGCCCATACATCTGCGTGCACAAAAGGCAGACAAAAAGGAGAGAGAGAGCCTTTAAAGAGTTGACAGAAACAAGAGGCCGTGTGAATCATCGGGGTTTTCTGTTTAAGAACCGACATCACATGGTGAGACATCTGGCTCGTGTAAACACGCTGAGGTTTAAAGTCAGGCTCAAACAGAAGCAGAAAACTGAAATACTATTCTCATCTTTAATCTCTTGAATCGACCACGCTTCCCCTCAGCAGTCGTGTAGACTTTTCCTTCGACTGATGAGTGGACAATGAGGTGCACCTGTCAGAGCCCAGCTGATTAACTCAGCAGGCCTGCCACACAATTGACTTCTGATGACAAGAGGAGGAGCTCACTGGGTGTATAAAAGCTGCGCCAGAACGTTGTGTGTCATATCTGCAGTTTTGGCTAGAGTGTAGTTCTTTCACACCATAATGGAGCTTTACAAGTGGCTGTTTGGTGTTGTAGTTTTGATTTGTGGGGCTTCTGCCCAGAATTATTGGATGCAGCCTCCRGCGCAGAAACCCCAGCTTTCTCCTGAATTTCAGAACCCCCTGTCTAAGGTCCCTCCACCTACACCTTCTTTTGATAAATGTGTTGTGGAGGAGGAGGAGAAGATCCACTGTGGGAGTCCAGACATCACAGCTGAACAGTGTGAAGCCATTAGCTGCTGTTTTGATGGACGTTGGTGTTACTATGGGAAAACTGGTATGTTTTAATCTAATGCTTTTTGTCAAAGTGTGTAAAATCCTCACTGTTAAACTGAATTTTCTCCCTCAGTGACTGTGCAGTGTACCAGGGATGGTCAGTTTGTGGTTGTGGTGGCCAGAGAAATCACTCTGCCACCAATTGATGTGAACTCTATCAGCTTGCTTGACTCAAGCGAGGCCTCCTGCAGCCCAGTCGATGGCACCTCAGCCTTTGTGATCTTCCAGTTCCCTGTGACAGCTTGTGGCACAGCTCTTAAGGTGGGGAACCTTAGTTTAATTTAAATGTTTGAAACTTGACATCAATGTGTTTAATTGATCTTATTTAAATTTCAGGATGAAGATGGCTACGTCGTCTATGAGAACCACATGTCATCGTCTTATGAAGTGGGAGTTGGACACAAAGGGTCGATCACAAGGGACAGTCATTTTGAGTAAGTTTGTGGCAGAACTGCTCAGTCCATAACTATATAAAGCACAATCCTCCATTCCTTGTGACCCACTGCCCTGCATGTTTTAGTGGTCTGCTTCTGCATACCTGACTCGTATTAATACTTAAGTTTAGCAGAAGCCTGTCAGCCTTTAATTTCAGTCTGGTGTGCTGATGCAGGGAAATGTATCATGCAGGGTGGTCAGCTGCACCAACACATACTGCATAGTGTTTGCATCTTTGAGTTTAGCCATAAATCTGCAAAAATCTTAAGACCTTTAAGGCATCCTGCTTATATTTCACTCCAGCAAATGAAAAGTCTAGACTAGCTTTAAAACTCTTGTTTTGGCATGTTCTCAAAGGACTACTGGAGAAACTAAAATGACCACTTTAAGGAACAGACAGTAAATGTAAAATGAAGTGTATTGAGTGAGTTACTGTTTTAAATCTGYCTGAACTTGCCTTGTAGACTGCATTGTCTCTTTTCCCTGCTCAGTGACTGCATTACCTCGTAGTTCTGTAGAAGCTGGTTAAAACCAGGTGTTTCAGCAATAGTACAAGCCAGCCTTATGAGAACATCTCTGCTCTTTTAAAGACTAAAACATGTTGCATAACATGTAAAACTGTTACTAAATCTCATCTAGTTGAATGTAATGATCCTCAAAAGTATAATGCATCTTAAAGTAGCTTCTCCAATTTCAAGAGTAAAGAATGTGTTTTACTTCCCCATTGGGCTTTTAACACCCACGTTTGCTGCTTTAATAGATAGTAGTGGTTACAAATCAAATCTCTCTCAGGATGTCTAAACATGGTCCTGTTCCAACAGGCTGCTGTTCCAGTGTAGATATTCYGGCACGACTGTGGAGGCTCTGGTGTTGGAGGTAAATCCTGTTCCTCCCCCACTGTCTGTCGCAGCCACAGGACCCCTGAGAGTTGAGCTCCGACTCGGCAGCGGACAGTGTCACATGAAGGGATGTGTGGAAGGTGGGAGCGGTGCAGACTTCAGTGTGTGCGGTTTTGTTTTCCCAACCTGATGGCTGTAATCTCTGATTGCAGATGTGGCAGCATACAGCTCCTTCTACACTGCAGCAGATTACCCAATCAACAAGCTGTTGAGGGAACCAGTTTTTGCAGAAGTGCGTCTCTTGGAGAGGTCTGACCCAAATTTAGTTCTGAACCTGGAGCACTGCTGGGCCACAGCCACCCCAAACCCAGAGGGCCTGCCACAATGGGACCTGCTTGTTGATGGGTACAGAGAATTGCTGTTAAACTTCTGTTTAACTTCTCTTGCTAATGGATCTTCTCTTGGCTGCAGGTGCCCCTACCATGATGACAGATACCAAACTACAACAATTCCTGTGGATGAATCTTCTGGCCTTGAGTTTCCAACTCACTACAAACGTTTCGTCAGCAGGATGTTTACATTTGTTGCTCCAGAAGACTTTAGTCCTCACAAAGAGACGGTACATGTGAATGCTGAAGACTAAAACTGTGTAATCTTGACCCAACTAAAATGGGGTGCTCTGCTTCCAGGTGTTTTTCCACTGTTCTACAATGGTTTGTCATCAAGGCAGCACAACCTCTTGTGAGCAACAATGCCGCAGAAAACGTGAGTATTTCAGCTTCTGACCCACATGACTGTAGCTAAAACTTGATACAACTGACTGGTGTGAATGCTTTTTAAATTGCGTCAAAAGTAATGCCCACTTGTCATGGAATCATGGCTTTTTTTGGGAAACGATTAGCAAAGTCTAAACAAAATAATTCACTGCTGTACATAAAAATGTAACTCTCCTTGCAGGAAGAGCTGCCTTGAAAGTCCCTTCAAGCCAGAGGTCCCTGGTCTCGAGCGGTGAAGTGATCCTGACTAGGCTGCATCTTTAAAGATGTAAAGCACTCAAAGCCATTTCAGACTTTTAATAAAACCTTGTTAAAACGCTAACCTTGGCTTTTTCCTATTTTTCCTGAAATATACTTGGGTCAAAAGTTCTACTGTGCTGCACGTACTAGTTCACGATGGGTAAACATTTATGAAAGTTTAAAATTTGTACAAATTGGCCAGCAACTGAGATGTRAAGTTTACATCTGTTTCAGATTTCATCTGGACTAAGAAGGGCTAGAGCAGCTAATTTGATCCTAAAGAAGTGGTTCCCAGTTGGTCCTCAAGGGCTGGTGTCCTGCATGTGTTAGGTGCTGCCCTGGTTAAACACAGCTGAACCTAAGGAGTGCTTAATTAGTGGGCCTCTGCAGACCTTGATGGCAAACTGAGAAGGCACTTCTAGTTAAAGCAGGGACAAATCTAAAACTTGTAGGAGACCGGCCCTTGAAGACCAGCTTTGGACATGCCTGCTCTTAAAAATGCTGCTTTCACTTTCCATCACGTGTATCCAGCTATTGCTGTTTATGTACTTGTATGATCCAAGGTATCTGATTTATGGCCAGTCATGTTTTCAGTCAGTTCATATACTCAAATCAATGAGTGCTCCAACCTGTGCTCGTGAAGTATAATCCAAAGCTGAGAAGTAAAAAGCTTACTGTGCATAAGTTTTGTGGGCAGTTTCATAACAGATCAGACTTGGCTTATGAAATAAAGTGGAAGAAATGGTTTATCCCAGTAAATATGGCTAAAATTTTGTGCAGCTAGCACCCTAATTTGTTTCCTGGCCATTTTGACAAAGGTGCTCATATCCCACCCAAAATGGTTGGTCTGACCAACTGCACCCAGACCAGGTCTTGGGCAAACTCCCCCCAAGACAAAGCCCTTTTATGACAGACTACACCCCCATTTTTTTTAACAAGCAAATCTCAGTGAGATCACGTGTTTTTCAAGGGAGGCCTGGGTTTGAAGGCTACCATTTATACAGGTTCTTGGTCTGGGGAGGACCAGAGGAAACCTTACAAAAAAAACATGCAAAATTCACATGGATGCCAGGTTCAAACTGTCCAGGACCTTCCTGCTGTGAGGCATCAGTGCTATCCACGGAGCCATGTTTGGTCCTAGTCTAAGTGTTTAACAATTTTAAAGCTGAGACCAAATTAAGCCTTCTAAAAATGCAAAGTATTCAATGCATGAAAAACTTTAGGAGCCTTAGTAAAATGCCAAAGGCAACAACTCATTCATGAATCCTGTTTTCATGTCAAACCTTTTCACCAAAAACAAATGGATTAATTCAGGATCCAGACCTTGGTTTTAGGTGCCACCAATCTAAGAGTGCAARGCTCTGGTCTGGTTTTCCAGACAAGTATTTCAATTGAATCTTGAATCAAAAGCTACAAATGGAGGGTGGAACTGCAGTTGAAGTTTCTCATCTGACTTTTGGACTAAATGTTTAGAAACTATTTTGCCTGAGGTTAAAAACATTACGCAGCATTTAGCTTAAATGAGTCGAAGTGCATCTGTTAAAATTACACATTTTTTTACTTGCTAGATATTTTTCACACCTTTAGTGTTAAAACTCTCGAGTGAAATCTGAATCAAGTGGGTTAAAGTTGTAATCACTTGATGCCGTCTTTAATGAAACAGGAATGATGCGAACTTATTTCCATCATGAAGTCACACGAGTCRCTGTTCCAATCTTTACCAGCACTGTATGTAGCAGCGTCTCCTTTACTGCTGTGCACCACCTCCTCCTTTGTTTCCCCCATATCTCATTGAGATGGGCATCACGACTCCCGCAGCCTAACACTCTCTGCTTGCATGAACAGGAAGGTGMAGAGAGGAAAGCAGAGCAGCTGTATGGGTTCAGTGTGACTGGGCTGTCTGGATGCTGATCTCCCTCCACTTTTAACCCCTGCCCTGCTGGAAAGGCATTAAAGCGAGAGGGCAGCTTTGCATCATCTTCAGAAATAAGAAAAAGCAGCAGCAGCCTCTTCTATAAGCCGTGCGGCAGAATTCTCCGAGGACTCGGCGAGGAGATGTGAAATGACAGTGGCAGCTCCTGTGTGGACTTGCATTCTTATACAGGCGGCGCAGAAGTGTAAACAGGTTTTATCTCACGGATGTTGGCGATTAAAGTGACAGATGCAGATTAGTTTACATGTGCAGGACGCTGAAGCAAATGAACGCGCAGGGAGACAAAAAATCATCATTAGAGCAAAATGAGGCCATTTAGTCACATTTAAACCAWTGAACCATTATTCCGATCCCTTCTTGTCCTGTTAGCATGACGAGAAATATTTAGTCATAAAAAGCTGCAATGTTGAGGAAAAAACCTATCTTCACGCTACAATAGTCAAACTAATTTCTAAAACAGAATAGTGCAATATTCATGCAAAATTTATTTCAATTTTTTCTTTACAAAAGAGCAGAACCAAACTATATTTGCAACTTTAAGCTGACAATAACTATTACTGTGTTATCATGGCAGCTCTTCCAGCTTTTGTGGCCCTTCATCAAGCTTTTACATAATGAAAAAAAAAAMCCCACAGTGAATCATAGCCGCACTGACAACAATGCACTCTGTCACAGATGACTAACAGCTGCTTGGAGTATTATCGGCTTGTTAAATAGCTGTCGTCGGTCGTTATTGCTCCCAAAATAACACCTGCAACTTCGAGTGGTCCAGAGGGTACGCCTCATAAATCACACGTCTGGTTATTGATAACTGCAGAACGACCTGAGCTGCTTCTGAAGAGTGGAAATAAAGGTTCAGTTTATAAAGGAAAAATAAATGAAGCAGTGGAGTTGGGAGTTTTTGTTTTCTGTGTGTGCAGCAGAGGAGATGAGGTGAGGAGGGGCAGCTATAGTTTATTTTATTTTATTTTATTATTTTTTGTTGCGATGAAAAAAGAGGTAACACAAAGGTCTGAAAAGTTACAAACCACAGTTACGGACAGGAAAAGCTAATCACAAGGTAAACTAATGGCACTTGTTTTGCATGCATTGTAGTGGTCATCAAGTGGTGGCCAGTTCTTCCCATTTGGCCATTGAAGTGTTACATTAGAAATAATGCACAATTTGTTAAAAAAGATCCAGTTGTGATCCAGCTCAGAAAGGGTTAAACAAACAGCCAATAAGCCAATCAAATAAATTGTCCATGGAGGTTAGAGGTGTAGAAACAGAGATTACCCTTTTAAGTGTTATAAACAAAATATTCTCATAAAATACAGATTATCTTTTCAAAATGTATATTTTATGTAACTGGTAACATATAAAAAATACATTTTAGACACATCATTAGCATTAATTTCTTATGTCATACACTCCATTAACACCTTTTTTATTTATTATTTCTTAGAGATCTTTTTTTTTTTTTTTTGGAGAATTTGGCCACAATCCAGCAAATCAGTTGGCCTTCATTACTAAACTCGGACTAAAAATCTAAATATTTGCTTTTAAATTTTGAAAAGAATCAAAAATGGACCATTAAAGTTGGACAAGGATCATGAGAGTGAAATAATAAAGTGACAAAAAGAGAATTTATAAAGCTATTTATTTAAATATTGCTTTTGGGGCCAGATAAAATCTTAACGAAGGCCAGGATTTGGCCCGCAGGCCTTGAGTTTGACACACAGATTAGACATTTACTAACCTTCACTTTTTGATTCAATTTAGCTTGATAAGGCATGAACAGATACAGATTTTCAATGAAAGATAGTGGTCACTTTTATTGTTTAAATCAAAACTGTCATGCTGGTTAATTTTATTAAATGTACCACCCAATTGCTTATTTTGTAATCCATCCATCCATCCATCCATCCATCCATCCATCCATCCATCCATCCATCCATCCATCCATCCATCCATCCATCCATTCTCTTTCCCTGCTTCTGTTGCCAGTCCATTAAAAAGTCACAGAGACAGAAAACAACTCACGCCTGGGGCAAGTTTAGAAAATACTACACTAAATCAAATATTTACATGAAGCTGTCACTTTCAAGCCCACACTGATGCTGTCYTTACTGTATACAGTATCTTCTTTAAGTTCAAGCAGGTTATTAGTCTTCTGAGCGTATTTAAAACCTGCACTCCTAATAGGTAAATTACAGGAAGGAATAAAAAAATAGTGGTCTGTTAGACTTCTAACAGGTGGCTAAAAGTTATTTTAGTACTATAGTGTGAGCAAAACAAGTACACACTGAAAAGGAGCACAACGCAGCCACGTGAAAAACCAGAAAAAAGGATAATTTAATCATCTTTTTTTACTCCTCACAGGTTTCCAAAAGTGAACCGACCCACAGGCTCATCCAGTAATTCTCAGAATCATGAGCAACGCAGCTCGTCTCCAGTTTAAAGACGGACCACCAGCATCAGCAAACCCCCAGCAGGAGTTCAAACGAAGCCTGTTAGTGTTTCTTCCACCGGCCTGTGTGAAAGCAATCACTGGCCATCTGGAGCACCGGCCCCCTCCCCCCGGGGGAAGCAGCAGGTGGGACGCTGTGGGTTAAATGAGCTGTTATCTGTAACCAGTTTACCTCCCATATGACCAACTTCTGTATCTCTGTCAGTTTAAACTCTCACAACACAACCTCCGTGCGCCGGCTCCCTCCCTGCTTTGTTTTGGATAGTTTTTTTTTTCTTGTTTGTGAGTCATAACGCAGCGGCAAACTGTGTATGCAGCAAAAAAAGAAAAAAAAAGAAAAAGAAAAGTGAAAAGTAATTCAGTCGAGCAAAAAATAAAAAAAATGGAGGGCATGAAGTGAGCAAGCAGCAGGAGCTGGCTGCGGTTGTGATCAAACACTCAGCTGTCAGCTTCTCATGCCTGGTCCTGCGGACACAACACCAACTGAATAACAACGTATAAACGTACCCAACACAATCTGCTGGCCCAAATATCAATTAAACAATCAGGACCACCAGTATAATTCTTTTTCCCTGCCTTTCCTAAATGTGAATCTGATACTGTCTGTCTGTTAGCACCTCYTCTGTTCTGGTTCGTTCCTGCTGAGAGAACAATGAGGATCTGAAGCTGCTCGGCACCAACAGRCTCCTCAAGACAGAAA